TTGTATGTGATTAAAAATCTGATAATCTAATTTGAAACCTGAAAATAAAAAGAATTTTTAATGGCACACAGTATTGTCCATGGTATCTAAACACTGATTGTATTTTACTACTATTAAGTCTATTTTTATGGCCTTCTGATGACACAAACTAAGTGAAATCTCTTTGGATATCAGTAACATTCCTGTTGAATTCATTGGGCTAGAACTTCACTCCAAGACTTCCACTGTTTCCATAGCAAAGAATAAAGAATATTCTTACATCATAGTGCAAATTTGATGCCATATTTTAAATACAGACTCTGCAGGAGGCAGTACAGCTTGAACAATCAAATCAAAACAAAACAAAACAAAAGAATGCAGGATCTTCCTTTTCACCACAACTAAAGCTTGCTTGGAGTTAGCTTTGAGTAAGGCTGCTCTAGCCTGGATTGTGGCTGGAGTGGGCCTTTCAGTAGTTTAGTTTGTATCCACACCAATGGAGGGGAAAAAAAAAGAGATGCAGGGGCTTAAAATACATTGCAACCTCTTTTGACTTAAGAGAATTGGACAGAACTTGAAATCCCACATGATTTTTCCTTAAAGAGAAAAAAAATGGAGACAGGTATTTCTTTAAATGAACTCTGTTCATTTACAAAGGATGTTTACAATGATTTCCCCCCCTATGCTCTTAGTAAGAGTATTTTGCTTTGAGCACAGGTTTGTCTTTTCCTCTGGGTAATGCCTTCTTTAGGGCTGTTTTCCATTCACTTTTTAAGATTGTGCTTTTGTGGCCATCTTTGAGGTGCTTGTGATGGGTTTGCGATTTCTGTTTTTGGCACACAGACATGCACAACCTACATAACTGTTGCATTTGGTATGAGAAACTCACTGAGTGCCTGTACCATCTGGCCGAGCCAGAGCAGGGCACATTTGCATGTGGTCTGCCTCCTGGGTGGCATTTTTGCATTGTTTCAGCCCTCCCTAGACAAAGAGGCATCTAATTGTGTCTCCAATGAGCCTGAACAGGAGACAACTACCAAGAGCTTCACTGCCCAGCCCCCACCGCTGCAATGTAGAGAAGCAGAGCAAGGAGGGGGGACCCAGGCTAAGGTGCTCTCTTAATTAAGTAATGTCAAATTCAGTGGCCATTTTCTCCCTAAGCAACAGCTGTCTCAGCTGCCAGCTGCTCTCGCTTTTCTGAGGCTGCTCTCTGACCCATGAGACATGGCTGACCTCCCCTTTTGCCCTCTTTGCTGCCCTCCATACTCCCAGCCTTGCATCACTTTGGAGGAGCTGGGCGGACAGCAGTGGACACAAATCAAGCATCATGAATGGGCTATAAATTTCGTGACTCATGCCCCTCTGTGTGGGTTGTTCTATAACACAGGGGGACAGGCAGCCAGAAAAGGATGTGAAAAGCCTGACAGAGAAAAAACACCTCTGCTCAGGTAAGGTAACAGCAAAGGTCAGTGAACTTCCCTGGTGAGAATGAGTGTGCCACCAGATAATAGGAAATGGCAGTGGATGGACTTCCAGGATGCAGGAGTCAGTTCACTTTGTAAATACGAACATCAAGGCCAAATTGGAAAAAAAAAACATTGAAATACCACAGAAACCACATAATTTTTTTATATGGGGATGGTGATGTAGGGCTGTTTAAAAACCATTTCAACAGCAAACCCTAGGCCAAATCTTTGAGGGTTTGTTATTCTAGGCTGATCTGCCATTGCAGTCTGTGTTTCTTTCCAAAGACTGCAGAGGACAAGTACACAAGTTTGCGAATCCCTCAATTAGGGGGCTTGCTGTTCTTTAAATTACACATATATTTAAATTGTTTAATTAATACATGCATCTTTGGCTGTTCTAAGGAAGCAGGGAAACAGCATGCCTTTAATTTGCACTTCAGAAATACAGCAAGTAAATGAAATCGAATTACAGAAGGAACCCCGTCTACTACGTAGAGCAGGAGTCCTCTTTTTTCCTTACATGCCTCCTTGTTGACCGCTACAAAATTAGCACAAGCATATACTGACACTGTCCCAGTAAGGATGAAAGACAAAAATAGGAATAAATTGTGAATTTATATTCAGATGTGAATTTAAATGTGAATCAGATGCTCATAAAATTTAGTAAAGTATCCTAAATTATAAATAACGATTGGACTGAAATCTCATCAAGAAGCAAATGATGACATTTGAGCAGGAGACACTTAAACTAGATCAGCCAGTATATTTCAGTTTTTTATACCATGTCAGTGACAACAGGTACTTGCAAACCCTGCTTAACCAGGTAAATGATGTCTGCAATTCCTTAGGGTTCCTTAAATGGAACAAAGAGGCAACTGGAGTGTATGAAGGTACCTGTCTTGCTTTGCTTGGTTTGTTTGTTACTTGGAAAAGCAGCACTGATTTTTCACAGTACAGTACCTGCTAGCAGGTGGGTCATTAAGGAGTGATTCTGCCCGTTCAGTAACATTTTCCTTTAAGAAGGTTAGAATAAGCACTTAATGATGTGTCCTTTAAAAATATTTAATGATGCTGGTTGGCAGTTGGTTGCCTATCTTCAGAATTTGGACATAAATACTGTCACAGCGTGAGCTGCATGAATCAGAACACAGCTATTTTCACTTGTTTAAGAAAATAATTATTGTAATCTTTGTGTTTGCAGGCACCCTAGAAACATTCCTAATTTCCTCTGACAGTGAATTCATGCTTTCTACAAATGGTAGGCTGATACAAGTATTATCAGTACTGGAGAAATGAAGGTGAAAACTGTCAGAAACACAGGTGTCCCCCTGCAACTACACTTTAGTAATAGCATGGAATAGTAATTCCTTTGGTTGATTTGCCATGCTAAGTGAAACAGCTTATCACACAGCAAACCTGGATCATGCACTTTATCTGCTGCCCTTCTCCTATGGACACTACTTAGTCACTTTTTGCCAATTAACGCTATCATAACGCATCAAGTAGATTTATATGAATACACTTATTCTGAAAAAATAGGATGTTTGCTTTTCTGTTCTGGGAAAGCAGAAATTTTCACCTAACCTCTAGCCTAGGAGATTAGCCTAAGCCTAGGAGATAAAGATTTTTTTAAATTACTGATATTCTTTATTAAAGATGAGGACAGAAGACCATGGGGAATAAAACAGTTGCAGAAAATACTGAGATTATAGTTTGGATTTTGAATCACACTTTCTGGGGAGTCATCTGGATGCTGGGAAATCAGGAGAATATTTTGTGTACTAATATTAGAATAAGGATTGGTGTAGGTTAATTGAAATTAATGGCACCGAAGTAGAAAGAAAAACAGAATCTCATCCTGCAAAACTGAAATATTAGTCTGTACTTGCCAGCAGTGGGAAGACAGCTGAAATTTAAACAAGGAGTGGGATCCCAGTACTAATGGCGGGATCTTGCAGATACATGCTCTGAAGTGTTTTGCAGCTATTCTCCCACTCAACAGGCATCTCCCCATGCTCTTTTTACTGGTTCATGCTTATTGACATGAACCAGTAAAAAGCATCTTGCACGGATACTACATTAGAGATGTTTTAGTACATAGGATAGTGATCCTTCCTCTGTGATACTGTTGAGGCTGCATCTCAAATCCCATGTTCACTTCTGAGCCCCTCACTACAAGAGGGACATTCAGGTGCTGGAGCAAGTCCAGAGAAGGGCAATGGAGTAGAGGAAGGAGCACAGCTCTGGTGAGAGGCAGCCGAGGGAGCTGGGGGTGTTTAGCCTGGTGAAAAGGAAGCTCAGGGAGGATCTTATTTTTCTTTATAACTGTCTGAAAGGAGGCTGTAAGCCAAGTGGGGGCTGGTCTCTTCTCCCAGGTAACAAGTGACAGGATAAGAGGAAATGGCCTCAGGTTGTGCCAGGGGAGGTTTAGATTGGATATTAGGGAAACTTTTCTTCATGGAAAGGGCTGTTAAGCATTAGAACAGACTGCCCAGGGAGGTGGTAGAGTCACCATCCCTGGAAATGTTCAAAAAACGTGGGTATGGTACTTAAGGATGTGGTTTGGTGGTCACCATGGTGGTGGAGCAACATTGACAGTCGGACTTGATGATCCTAAAGGTCTTTTCCAACCTTAACAACTCTATGATTCTACATTGATGATAAGTTTGACAACACCCAGAGAACGTAAGCACAGTCATCTTGCAGGCACAGGTATCTTTTTTCACTCTCTAACCCATGCAAATGGAAGAAATAGAATATGTGCATTAATCACATTTATTTTTATGACAGATCATTGGTTTCTACTCTCTCTCTTTCCAGGAAGACAATCAGCATCTTTCATGTGACAATGCCACCTTGACTCTGCAGCCTATTTTTCTAATTTTAGTTAACTGCCTTACTGAATATTGAATTTGTGATGGTTTTACCTGGGCTAAAAATAGAGCAAAAGGATTGTTATAAACCACACAGACAGACCTACATACCACAGCCCACACTCCATAATAAAGAAGATATACCTGGAAAATTTATTGTACAGCCTCGCAGATGAAAACTACGGGAAGTTCTTCACGGAATCAATTAGGGTTGGATGGGACCTCTGGAGATCAGCCAGGCAAGGTCACCCAGAGCAGGTGACACAGGAGTGCGTCCATGTGGGTCTGGAATGTCTCCAGGGAGGGAAAGTCCATGACCTCCCTGGGCAGCCTGTTAGATAATGAGCCTGGGCAGTCTCATTATAAAGAACTTCTTCCTCATGTTGAGGTGAAACTTCTTGTGCTTTAGTTTATGGCCGTTAACTCCTCATCCTGTCACTGGGCACCACCGAAAAGAGTCTGGCACCATCCTCCTGACACCTATGAGACATTTATGAGATCCCCTCTCGGTCCTCTGTTCTCTGGGCTAAACACCCTCTTTACTGTGCGGGTGGGGAGGGCTGGCACACGCCGCCCAGGGAAGCTGTGGACGGCCCGTCACCGGGAGCGTTCAAGGCCGGCTCGCATGTGGCTTGGAGCCCGCGGCACCTCCTCCCTGTGCCGCCCCTCCCTCCGTCCCCTCTCCGCGCCCGCCCCAGCCGGCGGCAGCTCCGGGCGGCGGCTCCTCCCCCGTGGCCGCCCGGCAGCATGGCGGCGGCGGTGGAGACCCGCAGAGTCTGCGAGACCGCCGGCTGCAGCAGCGAGGCCAAGCTGCAGTGCCCCACCTGCCTCAAGCTGGGCATCCAGGGCTCCTACTTCTGCTCACAGGTGAGGCTCCCCGCGGCCCAGCCCCCGGCGTGCGGCGGCCGCAGGATCCAGCTCCCCGCGCCGGCTCCCGGCCGCCCGGGCCCGGCCCGGCGTGCCCGGCTCTGCTCGGCTCTGCTCGGCTCTGCCCCTCTGCCCGCTCCCGGCCGGCCCGGGGCAGCAGCGCCCGGCCGGGGAGCCCGCACCAAGTTCGGCCTCGGTGGCTGGAGCGGGGGAGCCGGGCTGGCGGCCCCGGCGGGGCAGGAGCCCCGTTTCGCCCCGTGGCCGCGGGCGGTGCGGGACCTCAGCGGCACTAAATGCAGCGAGGCTCGTGGGAGGGTGCACGGGTGTTCCTGTGCCTGAAGGTGTGGGGGGTCCCTGTGCTCCCCTCAAAAATAAAGGCTTAGTGACACAAAGTGAGGACGTGCTCATCCCATTCCAGCGGGTGCGTTTCTCTGCCGGCGTCAACTCTGGAGTTGCTCGGCTTTGATAGACGCGGGGAGACTTGTTGCTCTGAAAACAGATTTTCTTTAAGTTATGAGTTTCTGTGAAAGTTGCTTGATACTCTTCCTTTTTTTATTATTACTCCCTTTGCATTCCTAACTTTTTTTTCCCCCACTATTTCCTTTGATGTTCTGCTCGTAGGGTGCCAAACAGGAAGGTTCAGGTTAGGCCACATGTCGTAGAGCAGTCAGCTCCCACATATAAATGTGAGAATTGAACGTGTACCGTGGGCCACAGTGGTAACAGAGAGTGGTCCTTCAATAGAAGGAGCTGTCTGATGAGTGTTGAGTGCGTTTTTTGTTTTGGTTTTGTTTGGGTTTTTTAGTAACTTTCAAAATGTACACTGAAATACATAGCCTAATCCTTTGAACTTTTTGATAATTCTATCAAAATCAGTGAGGATGTATGTGTTTAGTTCAGAGATTAACACTGGCTTTCCGTGTCACAATTGTAATTCAGAGTAAAGTCACTGAGTTTTTGTGGATAAACATAAAAAAAATAATTCAGTCGCATCAGCTAGATTAATTTATTAATCGGGAAGGAATTTTTTTCTGAGTCAGGATGTAAGCTGTTAGTTATGGTTTGCATAGGACTGAGGGAAAATTTCCCACGTGCTTGTGACACACCCACTGCACAGTTTCTGGTACTTTCCCCTGAAGGCTCTGTGCCCTATGCTGGGAGTCTGTGCCAAATTAGAGCAACTGCAAATCAGTATTGTTCTGACAATTCTGTATCTCTAGTTCCCACGTGGTGCTTGTGGTTAACTTCTAGGATTTGCTCTGAGTTTTACATTTCCTCTGAGTGTTTTGACATGTCTGATATAAAATCATCATAAATGCTTCATTGGTATATACAAATATTGGTTGGTGATGACAAAAGCATTTGTTAAGAGAACAAACAGGCCAATGTGAAGAGTTCCAGTTGCAGTTCCAGTTCCCTCCTTCCCATCTCTAACTCCACTAATTTCATATGGGATGCAGAGATTCTTGTTTTCTATATGCTGAGTTAATAATTTGGAAATATCTGCTGCTGTTGTTAGGAAAAAAGGGAATTGCTGTAAATACTTCCTGGCTTGTTAAAGTAGGATGCTGGATAACTGACTACATGCTTGTAAAGCTGTCCTGCTTAGAAAATGAACAGGCAGGAATCCCAGTCATCTCATTTCTGAGTGACTTGGGGCATGCTGTGCCTTGCTGTGCCAGTCAGGAATGTGGGTAAGCACACTGAAGGTGCTTTGGAGGTTTTGGGGCGAGCTGTTACAGAGAAGGACGTTAGTGACAGCCTGTTACAAAGACGTGCAAGAAATGTCATGCACACAGAGAAAAGTCCCCATGTTTATCCCGTAGCAAGGACCCTTAGCCCCCCCCACTACCCTGGGTGGGGCCCAGCATGGATGGAACTGTGTGTGCCATGGAGGAGACTTGCTGCAGTCCTGCCCCGGTGTCTGGCAAGCGCAGTCAGGTGAGGTGCTGCTGACAACCTGGCTGCCTCTTCAAATAAGCACATGGCAGGTGAAGGACTCTTATTTTCTGTGAACTTCCAGCAAGTTTCAGCTGACAGCAGTGGACTGGTTAGCATCGGTGAAACTTTTCTGGAGTTCTCTCTTTGGTGGCTTTTTTTCCATTCTGGTCTTACATGCATAAATACCTCCTAGATAAGCTAGTGAGTGGACCTAGGATGTTATTCCACCTCACAGCGCAGCCTGTGTTGTAGCTGGATTGGTGCTATTCCCTCCCTCTAAGGATGCACACTTCTACCCTTTCCCTTAGTCTGTCCCTGATTCCTTGGTGAGCCATTTCTAAGGTCTTCAGAGTTTTCTTTTAAATGGAGGAAAAGCAGTGCGTTAATTGTTTCAGGTTTTTTTGCTGGTTTAGCACTGCAGGGTCATGAAACACTTCAGGAGTGTGCTGCTGAAGAGCAGGCTTGCCCACTGTGGCCCAGTTTAGCCCAGTCATAAAGTCAGCCTGTCCTTATGGAATGCGCTGGTGTTAGCCAGGTGTGTGGGTGCTTCCTTTGGGCTGAGGGTAGATTGGGAGCCACAAGCTGTCTGGCATCTCCTTGACAGGTAAAAGCATCTGTATATGCATGGACACCGGGTAGTTAATCTGCTTGGAAGTCTACAATGGCTTTTTCAAACAGCCAAAACTCCAATCAGAGCTAAAACCAAGTTTGTAGGAATTTATTTTCTCTAGTGCTAAGATTAAACAACAAAAAATTGTGAACTGCAGTAGGATGGTAACCATGTGAAGCCATATGTTTGGATTATTAAGTTACTAACCTATCATTTGCTAGGAAAAACTTGATATAGGACTGAAAGCTATAGGACGTATAGGAAGTATAGGGCTGAGAATCCCAGTGTAGTGTGGAGATTGATTAAAAATTATTTTTCATGGCTGCACATAGAGGATTGAAGTGAACTTTCCAAGTAGATTGCATCAAGACAATGATTTCCCTGGTGGATTTACCATTTGTGTTTCTCCTTTCCTGGAGAAAAGGTATTATTCTGGTTACTTATTTTTTTCTCCCTGTCTGCCGTGAAAATGTATGCCTCAACAACATGCCCTGGAAATGCTTAGGCTGGAGTAATTTGACATTCTCTGAGATTTCTTTGAGCCAGCACTGTTTCCTCTTTGGCTATTGGTCACCTTGGAAACTGGGTACAGCTGCTAAATAATAGTTGTGCTTGTGGGTCATGGATGGAAAAGGGGACATGTGGCCGGGTTCTGGCCGAGCAGAGAGGTTTTGAACTGGTCATGGAGACAAGGTAAAAATGTGGTTTAGCAGCAGAGAAGCTCTAGAGGTGGTGTATTGAACCCTGGCTTGTTTTTTCCCGTTCACTCCAAGGTGTAACAAGAGGGTCTGTTCTGTTGAGGGATTCCGTCTGCTGTTAACCCTTAGTAATATTTTAGGCTAGTTAATCAAGTTCTCTTACTACCAGCTGCCTTTTTTCACTATCTTGTTTTATTTTCTTTAGAACTTACTGCAGTGTTGTTCGTGTTTATCATCTTATGGTAAGATACAGTAATTCAGTCTATCTTCTGAATGTAGAAATCACACAGATGTCCAGCATCACATCTCAGGTGTAGAGTTTCTCTTGCTAAGATGAATTTGTTATTGTGAAATCTGCCTTACAGATAGTCACTTGCGTGTACATTGTGCATAGTATACAGAAAGAGTTTGTGTTTAAGAAGACAATTTGCATTTCTTTTATGTCTTCTACAAGTGGCTGAAGGATAAAGAAGTGGAGAATAGTGACTGTTCTTGAGATCTCCAGTTACCATTTTTATATGAGCCTTCTAATTGTGAATGAATCACTTATTAGTAATTTTGTATTGCTTTCCTGAAGAGCTTCCTCTTTCATGCTACTTATATAAATGTCTTGGACAAAACAGAATAGCTTTGCTGTGGTGTGGACTAGACACTGGTACAGGGCCATTTCTCCAGCCAAATTCAACTTCTTTCTCTGAAGTCAGTGGCCTTTGCTTTTTTTGTTTCTCTGAGAGTGGTGGCCATGGGTTGTATCCTAATAGTAGTTGTAACTTACAAAGTGTTGCCCTTTCCTGTTTTGTGCGCCCTTGTGTTGTCAGCCCCAGGTGTATGAAGTGGTCTGGTTACGGAGTCAGAAGTGAGGACTGGGGTTATCTGGTGACTCTGCCACGTCACCAGTGTTTTAGGTCACTGTGTTAGTGGTATTTTAGGTGTTTGAAGGGGTAGCAGTTTCTCTGAGCTGTACAGTCAGGGGCAGTGTCTCTCTTGCACTGGTGGGTACCTCCCAGTATCTTGTGATACCTCTTGATATCTGGGGTGGGGTATGACTTGTTCAGTTCCAGCAACAGGAAAGAAATGCTGTTTTGTTCTCTCAGTGAGTTTATATACAATTTTCTGCTTTGAGTTTATATACAATTTACTGCTTTCTGCAAGGCACATTTTCACTGACACTCAGCCCTGGGCCCTTGACAGCTTAGGATTTTCATGGTGACAGTAATTTGTGAAGAATTGTGGACCTGAAGAGAAGATTGTTGTGCCATCTCCTGCTTTGCTGTTTCCTTTCACTGTCAGTGTGCTATGGATGGGGAGCAGGGAGCAATAGACCTGTATGAAACTATTTTTTGTCCTCTCTCACATCAGACCATAGGACATCAGTGCAGTGTTTTGTCCTTGGTTCACTATTCTTTGTGCCTGAAATAGGCTGAAACCAGCTGCTTGGATTCAACTGCAACACATAGGAGTTTCCTCAGGCATAAATGGCACTCAGCTGATACCGTCTTCTAGAAAATCAGATTTCCTTCGTCAGGAAGCTGACATTCTCAATTGCCTATAGATCACCATGAATACCTATGTCCGAGGTAAGCACCTGATTGTTGGTGAGATATGAAAGCTGAGCCCTCATGACTTTCTGAAAGGAGAACTTCAAACTCCTGTAGGCAGACTTGCTGAGCTGGTATTCCATGTACTGACAGGATAGTCCAGTTGGAATTCCTCTGGTCCATTGTTCCTTCACTACTCTCTAAAATCAGTTGTATATTTCTGTAAATCTGAAGAGCTGCAAAAGCCCTCAAAGGAAGGGCTTGGTCATGAGGGACCCGGGGTCTCAGGGTAAGATGAGGTCTTAGATGAAGGAGTAAGTCGATCTGCTGACACCAAGGTTCTGCATGTAGGTACTCCCTTGGCGTTGAAAATCCATATTCTGAAAACACATATTCAACTCTTCTGAAAAACTGACTATTCATGTATGCTGTTTAGGCTACTTTTCTAATTTTCTACAGAGTTTTTCAGACTGGAGGCTGTCTGTGAGCTTGTACTGCCCTAGAAGGATTTCAGCATGCTGAAAAGAATCAACTGTTTCATTTAACATCAAATGTATTAACACCTTAACATACATGTACTTATGGATAAAATGTGAGTTAATCTGTACTGTATTTAATATATATGTATATATAACTGATAGCCTGGTATTAAGCTAAATGTTGTACTTCAGAGGTTTTTTTTGGTCTTCTGTTTTGCATACCTTTAAGGTATTTGGTTAAAAATGAGTTCTCATTATGCAAAATTACATGGTCTCAGGTTAAGCCCCAGACAGTTTTACATTCTAAAGGACATTTGTAAAGTCTGTGAAAAAGATTGCTCAGAGTATTTTTAATTACAGTGTGCTGCTTGGCACTTGCAGTCTGTCCATTGCAGTTCAGGGTATAATGACATCCAAAGAGACAGTCTGTCCTCACAGTCTTGATTCCGACTATATTTTTTTTTTTTTCTGTAAAGTAGATGTTTTTTGAAATTCATTGCAGTGGCTCTAAATGATGACCATAGAAAATGGATGGGGTAATTCTGTGGAAGTTGGACACAAGTTGGAGTGCTGACAGAGGGGTTGCCAGAGCTAACTTGGAAGCGAGCCTTTCCCATGCAAAGGTGGTTCAGAAACAGTCTGTCAGCATATCTTGAATTCTGTGCTGTGGTGCCTGTGTAGCTTCCTGGCCTTGGCTATCATAGAATGGCCTGGCTGGGAAGGGACCTTAAAGACCATCTAGTTCCAACCCCCTGCCGTGGGCAGGGACACCTTCCGCTAGACCAGGTTGTTCAGAGCCCCATCCAGCCTGGCTGTGAGCACATCCAGGGATGCGACATCCATGTGTCTGGGTAGCTTATTTAAATCTAGTTTGTTATATCTGTGCTATACAGAGCTTTGTTGTTTAGTAATATCCTAATCTTAATTGAGCATCCTTTTTTCCTGTGGAATTTGCAATTGGCTGTACTTTTCCACCTCTTAATCAGATTGTATGCATACATGAACTGAACAAATAAGAAACTTTCTGTTATTATTGTAAAAATTACAATAAACATAGCAGAGTTTTTTCCCCTAATTACTTCAATAACTATTTTAAAGGGCTTTGTTCTTTAAATGATTGATTAAAAAAAAATCCTCGAGGTATTCGGTAGTGAGCAGTGTGTTCATAGTAAAAGTGCACCATACTATAAAACACATGCTGCTATGCCACATGATTCTCTTGATATTGGGCGGGTCCTTAAGGTAAAAATCATTTTCAGAAATAACACAGCTTCTACAAGGAGATCCAACAGAAATCTTTTCAAATGGTAATACTGGTTGTGCCTTTGGTTACCTTTTGATATATTCTGATGAACACTGGGTTGAACTTGTCTCTAAACACAAAACCTGTGGGATTGGCTTAAGAATGTTCTAAAGCCAGAAATGTTGTAGAAGGTTTCAATATGGTGACAGCCTCTGTCTAGAATACACATTGATATTTTTCTTACCTATAGACTAGTTGTACCCAGGATTGCCCTAAACAAGTAAAGGATTACTCCTCTGCTTTTTTTTTTTTTTTTTGTCATACATTTGACCTCTCTTCTCCTACAGTCCTCTTCAGTGTTTCCACATCTGTCTTGATTGAGGTGTAAAAGTCACATGCAATAGGTGAGAAAGCGGGGGATATTAATATCAGGCATACTAACTGGATAATGCAGTGCTTGAAGTGAAACCCAGGAAGTCTTCCAAGGAACTTGAAGCCAAATTCATATTGTTCCTGTGTACTTTCCCCCTGAAGGTATTTAATGTTTTAAAATATACCCATGCAGTGTTACATGTTCCTTTTTTCATGGTATCTGGAAAAACAAAATCTTTATTTTCTTCATTTTAATATTGAAAGTCACCTTGGGTATTTTTCCCTGGATTTTGTTTATTTAGTCATTGAAAATTTTCTATCCTGACCTGGGTAGGGCATAGGAACACAGAAGAATTGTTAAGAGACAGGAATGGTGATAGCCAGATTGAAGTAGATGTGTCAGGAGAAGGCTCAGTGAAAAGCTTAATTTTCTTCAGCAAAGACTCCAAAAAGTGGTCCAGATGGAGAGAAAGAGAAGGTTTCTTCCATAAGTTGTCAGGAAGTCTGCAGTATAGAAGGTGAGGGTGTTTGCAGTCTGCAGTGGTACTTTGGGAGTGCTTCGTTGCCAGAGCTATGATTCTCCACCCTGAGATGACAGCTGCCGTATTTTTATGTGGAACTGCCAAGGCAGAGCTCTGCAGTCAGGTGCAGCAGTTGTTGAATATAAATAATTTGTATGTACCCGGTAAGTCCAGAGCTCACAGGAAGCGTATGAGTGATCCTACACAAAATAGATGGGCTGTAGGTGGATGTGCAGCATGTCTTTTGAGTGCCTTCCAGAAGTGTCAGACCAAGGCAGAGAGACTGATGGGTTGAACAGTGCCTTTGTAACAGCCCCTGCTCACAAAAACGCTTCAGATGTACCGTGTATGCCTGTTGCAGTTGATGGATGTGCACATGGTGCAGGTGTCTGGGTTGTGTCAGGCCACAGCAGCTTTGGAGCTGTGTCCCAGGAGTTATGGCAGAGCTACCTGCTCCTCTGGAGATAGAGGGCAAGTAAAATCTGGGAAACATGTTTGGGAAAACTTAGGCATATGGCAGCCTTATGCAGAAACATCTTAGGTTGTCCACAGCTGCAGGAAATAAAAAGGCAAAAAGGAGCCTCTCAAGTTATGCTACTGTCCCTGGTGCTGTGTTTGCCCAGGTTTTTCTGGTTAAGGGCCAGCAGAGAGGAAAGGCTGTTGATGTAGGACAAATCAAGGGCATTGGAGAACATCCCCCAAAGTTTCATGGGAAAGCAGAGAATGAACTACAGTCAGTAATTGCCACAGCTGATGTATGCATTCCTTCCCCAAATACTCCTTTATATTAAAAAAAAGTGGATTCTAGATTTGCAGACTTGGTAGCTGCTGTAAGTCCTTAGCTGCTTAGTCCTTCTTTTATGCTTCATGTTTGAAAGGGGGTTAAAACCTTACTGGTTCTTCCGGTATCCTTGAAATAGCGTTTTTAGATTTTTTCTTATTACTTTCTTTTCCCTAAAGCAGACCTCAGTTAAAACCACTTCCTTTTCTCCCAGCTCCCCAGTAGAGACCATTGCAGTGCAAAGGTCTGTGTGTGTGTGTGTGTGTGTGTGCAGTGGGTTGTATAAATGTGATAGTAAAACCTTGGGCTGCTGTTGGAAGTGACATTCTCTCCGGTCATGGGAAGTGTTGGTTTCAGAGCTCCTGGTTGCAAGACTAATGAGGGAGGAAGGACAAGGTGGCTCAACAGGAGCAGACTGCTCAGAGCGCTCAAGAGCAACCCTGAAGCAAGGGTAGAATGTTACAAGCTGGGCTCAGTTTGCAGATGTGTTGTCTTGGACTGGTTGAGTGTTGTATACTTTAGGTTGAATCAGTTGTTGGCTCTGGATGGTAGTTTTGCAGTGATGATTCAGCATTAGTATTGTTTCTCCTTAAAAAACCAGTTTGCTTCCTGCCTCTTTCTTCAGAAATTCAGCTGTAATTGTCAATGATTGGAATTAGCAATTTCTTAATTGATGTTTTGAGTGCACGTAGGCATTGATTTGGAATTTCTACTACAAACCCAAGTAATTTGCTAATTAGCACCTTAAAGGATCACCTTTAATGCTGCCTTCTGCCATTTTTCTACTTAAATCTCTTTTCTTTCATGTCTTTTCTTCATCTTAGTCCTTCTTTATTGTCCAGCTGCTAGTCATTTCCATCTGCCCTTTTGTTGATTCTTTGTTCCTTGCATTAACTGCTCTATTTGTGCTTGGGAAGAAACTCCTCCACTCCAAGCCACTCTTTTTTTGATTTCCATTTCGACTTTCTCAATATTGTTTTTTCAATTTCCTATTTTCACTCAGTAGCTCTCATTTCCGCCCTTTAGTCTAGTTCATTAGTTCCCCTGTGGTTGTGCTAATTGGCCTCTGTTGCTTTCCTGTGCTGGAGCTGGAGGCAGAAGGGATGCAATTAGCAGGAGGAGATGGCTTGTAGGAGTCAAGGGAGGACCTTGCTGCTCACTGCAGCACTGTAAGATCAGGTACAGAGATAGACTTTGCTTCAGCCAACCTGCAGCCACCATGGTGTTTAGTTACTCATTGAAATGATAAGGAGTCAATAATACATGGGATTATGTCAGTGTATTTCACTGCCATAGGTGTTGTCTGTTTGGCTGTGCTTTTTCTGCCTATTCTGATTAATAAACTTCTGAATGTGATATTTTCTATTGCTAAGACTAGCAGTTACCAGCAGCATTTACTGCATATTGCTGCAAGGGTTAATAAAAACAGTCTTCCAGTTTTCTTTTAAAATGCATTTGCTTCTCTGTTTTGTCAGCTTGGCATGTCTGTCCATGTAAATACTGCTTAAAACATGTATTTATACAATTTTGTTTGCAATTCTAGGAATGCTTTAAGGGAAGCTGGGCCACTCACAAGTTACTACACAAGAAAGCAAGTAAGTACATTACTTTTTAAAATTTTCATATTTCTTTGAATTGGTTTTGTCCTGTGCAGTGAGCTCTAGGTGGCCTTGCTTGAGCTGGGGATTGGACCAGATGACTTCCAGATGTCCCTTCCAACCTCAGCTGCTCTGTGCTTCTCTGCCCAGGAATGGTATTGGGTTTTTTTCCAAGATACCTGGCACTGGGTGATGCATATCTGAAATTTTGTCCAGTTCTCAACAATCTGAAGCTCTGTGTAAAATTTCAGAGGCAGAGGTTCACAGAAGTGTTTGTTCACTTTTCTATTTACATGAATTATTGCTTGAATTGCATTGCCAGGTATATGAACACAGAAAGAGGGATGCTGAAATAAAGGGCGAGGAGAATAATAAATCACTGTTGTAAGGCAGTGTTCCTTCATAGCATTTTGATGTCTAATGCAGTCAAAGGCAATACAGTGGGAAAGGTTCTTGCAAAGTCTTTGTGATTAGACACTTGCTGGAACACAAGTGAGTCAGAGTGCAGCTGTTCTGTACATTTTTGGGAAAAAAGGGAGAATGCTTGTGTACATGCTGCAGCCACTGATAGAGGATGTATCATAGCTAGGATTTTGCTGAGTTCAGTTCAAGGTAGTAAGAGTATCTGTGTGTCCTAATGACAGCTGGTAGCTCTAGCACAGAAGCTGAGCTACCATAGTGAAACTATGGGTTTTCACTACTCAGATAAGGCAGAACCTGGTAGATTCTGCCTTATCTGAGTAGTGAAAACCCATAGTTTAAAACCAAAGAGAGGGCAGACCTCAGTTCTGCCCCCTTGCCTCCTCTATGCCACCACCCTGGCAATCTTCATTAAGGCTTGCTGAAAAGGGAGGTAGGATTAAAAAGAGATATGGCAGAAACTCACATCCTCAAATAATTTACCTCCTTTCCTAAAACCCAGTAAAGATTCTTTCTCCATGATAAATGTTGCATGGTAAATAGATTGGAGTAGTACAGATAATTACAAATGTTTTCCTTCTTTCTGCATTACCAGTTTAGGGATCTAATAGTTCACACTTGCATTCTGCATCCTATTAATTTGTGTGAATATGAATAGCTTTGGACTTTTAAATTGTTATTTCTCAGTTTCATCTGAACTGAATGTCATTTGAGCAGATGTCTCAGATGTCAGCCACAGAGACTCTGAGGAATTGCCATTAGGGCTTGCAATGGCAGACCTTTTGCTACCTCTTCATCCTTCTGAGATATAAAAGAGAAAACAAACAAGTTATCTGGTTATGAGTTAAAGATTAATGTTACCATGCTCTTTCTTCACCCTTGCCTTCTCTTTCTGAGTAAGTACTTTTCCTTTTGGTATTGCTCAGGATCTGCTTGTTTCAATCCTTTATGTAAACACCTTCAGTTTGCCCTAATAGGAATGTGTTACTTGTGAGTCATTAGACCATGTCAGACTTGAATTTCACAAGGTTCAGAGAGTTGGGAAGCTCCAGCAGTTTGGGACCATCTCTTAAGGTGTGAGCACAGCTTCTCCTGAACTGCAGAAGTGGCAGGACCTGCACTCTCTCCATCAGCTCTGGAGAGGTAGCAGCCTCCATGTGTTGAGCCTGACAGTAGGATGGCATCCCTTCCACCTTTGGATGGTCTCCTTCCCACCTCAGGTCATTTCAGTCACTGGGTGCTAAGGGAGATCACAAAAAAGGAATGTTTCCCTGCAGTGCAGGGATGTTAATTGAAGGGATAGTGAGTGCCTCTGTAGAAACAGGCTTTTTTCCCAGGAATGAAAACAAGCACTGCGTTATAAAACTACAAATGAAGAACAACTTAATTACTACACTTCCTTTGTGCATTCAGTCCTGACATTGCCCAGTTTGCTGTTGAATAGGGTAGGAAGAATGTGAATTTGGAATGGACAATACAAAATGATAACTGCTACTTGCACTTGCATATATCAGTATCTGAAATGCCAGAAGGAGTCAGATCTAGACTTATGTACTTCTAAGTCACTTTCTAGACCCCACAGTTCTCATTCTTAGTAGGACAGATGTTGCTGCTGCAACTTTTTTCCCCCTTTTTCTTATTTTTTCAGAAGATGAAAAAGCAAAGCGTGAAGTTTCCTCCTGGAGCCTGGAAGGTGATGTTAACACAAATCCCTGGTCTGGTTATCGATACACTGGGAAACTCAGGCCACACTATCCACTGGTAAGCAAGAGGTGCCACTACTCCTGCACTGCTATGTTCTGTAGCAACTAATGGACCACTCCTGACCTGATGATCTCCCACATTTTTGCTGAGAGAGGAGAGTGTCTTGATCTGAACCTGATGGCAAGGACATGCAGGGCTGTCCTTATTGTGGTTCATTTTAGTTTAACTTGTTCTGTCTCCTGGTATATTTATAATTAATGGAGTGCCTGTGAGCATCAGTAACAGGCTTAAGCTCATACCTTTTGGATGTACACTGTGACATTTATTCTGAAAAAAAGCTACTGCTAATTCAGATGATGTGACCCAGCTGTTTGTTATCCTCACCTGTTATGGAGCAGTCTGTTTCTAAAAAGTTCAGGCGAATTAATATAGAATTTAAATAAATGGTTTTATATTCTATTATGTAAGTGGTTTAAAATAACCTGGTGAGTGAACTGGTGAACAGCTGAAAGAACAGAGGTTACAGTAATCTCCTGCCCTGGAATAGTGAAGAACAACAGAGGTCAGTAAGATCTTTGGTTGTGAAAGGTGAATTTAGAAGATGATGACATATAATTCTGTATATATATGTGTATATATATATTACACACACATACATACATACAGATGTAACTGTATTTTTAAATTGGTACACGTTTGTACATGAAGTAAGCTGAAGCTTTTTTTTTTTTTATTTACAGCAATAATGGTATTTTCTTGACACTTGTCTTTTCTAATTGGCCTGTGCTAGAAAAGCTGCCCCAGTGGCATCCTCTCTCTAGTCTTCTCCATGTTACAGGCTCACTAGAGAACAGATTAGCTGAGCCTGAGCCCATGTGTGTTTGTTAGTGTTGTTGGAGAAAAAGGTGTTTGGGACATTTCACTGGCTAAGTAATTTAGTTGTGCTACCTCTGAACATTGGCTTTTTTTGTCTTGTGACTGCCATGAGACTGATGCTAATGAAATTAGGGATTTTGACTAAGGTGATGATTAGAAGTAGCAATCTTTCTAAAGAGAAGAGGGATGTATTTGGAGCCAGTGCAATTGCAGTCTGGAAATAGAAGAAAAAATGGTACAGTAAGGCATAATACATTATAAAACCAGTTTGATTTGCTTGACAATAAAAATTTGATTTTTACAAAGCTGTGCAGTTGGCTATTAAAAGTTGTATAATATGATAGCAATAGAGGGTAACAGCAGAGTGTCTGGGATTAAAACTTGGAACTTTTGGAGTGTTTACATACTTTGCAACTTCTTCTAAATGGACTTAGCCATATTTCACATGAAATATTTCATACTGTATTTAATTTTGCTGTGTGACTGTTTTTGTGACTATAATAAGTGTTGTTGCAACCTAACCAGCTTTGCCTGTGATTTATTTAGACGCCAACAAGACCTGTGCCAAGTTATATTCAGAGACCGGATTATGCTGATCACCCACTAGGTAACATGAAACAAATCACGATTTTGAGTGTTATGTTTTCTCTCTATTTTCCTTTTAATTGAAAAAAACTTTAAAGCATGAAGGACATGCTGGAGAAGGGAACCTCTTTTATCTGTTCTCACTTTACTACTTCTCCACAGTAACTTACTGATTTTTTAAAAATAATGCTTGCAGGTATTTTTTGGAAGTCCAAAGTTTGTAATGGGTTATCTTTCAAAGGTGTACAGGAAACTACGAGTTAGTTAATTTGCTTTTGGGTTTTTTTTATATTAAACATACAAGTCCTAGTTCTGTTGCTAATTTGATAACAAACAGCAATCAGTTGACTGTCACAGATGAATTCTACTAAACCATTCTCTGGGGCATCAGTGTATCTGTTGAAAATGTATTATTTTATAACAAAACCAAGAAAACCTTGCAGTATGCAACTCCAAAAAGAAAACTGATGTATGAATTCCAGCTTTTTTTGAACAGAGAGGGAGTGCATTCAAAATTACTTGCTTATTGGATTGTTTTGGTATTTTCCCCTTTTTATACCAGTATTGGGGCTTTGCATTTCCCCAAAACACTGCTATGAAGTCTGTTAGCATTTTTTTTAGTCTTAAGATATTCCATAGTTATTTTTTAAAGAGTGTAAATATTAAAACAGCACAAAAGACTGGATTTTAGGGGACCACTCATCTGTAAAGCTGAGATTACGAGATTTCGGTAGGAAGAATATACATGTTTTTGTCAGCTGATTATTGCAATAGTATAATCAGACATATTCCCAAGCTCATGTAACCCTTTATGACTGTTTTAGAATGTGTAATTGTTTTCTAAGAGAAGCTGAAAAGTGCTTTTCCATGAATCAAACAATTGCCTTGTCAACCTGGTATTTAAGTTTGTCTTTTGAATAACTGGACATAGTGGTGTTGTGCAGTAAGTGAATGGGCTTCCTGAACACATGGGGCACTATGGAATTGTGGAAGACTTATGGATTCCAATTAATCTGAATAATGATGATAATACTATGACTTGGTGGGTTTCTTTCTTTAGGCTATGATGAGAAAGTCTGTACTTCTATTGCCTTTGGTAAGCTGTGGAAGTTCCTGGATTGGATTTGTGTAGCAATCATCACCCTATATAACATGGGGTTTTTTCTTTCTTTTTATAATCCTCTCTCTTTTTTCTTTTCAGGAATGTCTGAATCAGAACAAGCTTTAAAAGGAACCTCTCAAATAAAAATACTGTCATCTGAGGATATAGAAGGGATGCGAGTAGTGTGTAGGGTAAGGGGGTTTTGATTTGTTTTGCAAGGTGCCTTTATATTCTTTCAAAATCTCTAATGATTTTACCACTTTGTCACAGTACATTTGAGAGTACAAACTTTCAAACCACTTTAGAGCACTGAAAAATAGTTTGGGAAGCTTGATATTTTCTGGCTTTATTCCTTCTTGGGAACCCGATTCCCAGTAAAGTATTTTGCAAACAGAAGGATGACTTTTATCTGTTTCCTGCATTTTTTATAAAAGTAGTAAGACAATCTGTGCCTGACATGTTTTTTCTGTTAAGAATATGTTTTATAGTGCATAAAGGAGAACTTCTTCCTCTCCTGGATTTGGTACTAAGAAAAAACTAAAAAGCAGAACAAAGCCCCATCCTTAACAATTTTTGAAAAAGAGCTGTTCAATTGTAATTACTTCCTTGTGCATAGAGTCAAACTTTGAAATGCATTTAAATTGTCTGATTTAAGATTATGGCATTCAAGGAAAATGTGGTTCAAATCTTAACGAGGGTATTTGCAGCTCTCACAGAGGTGGCTGAGTACATGACCTGCAGGCATCTCAAAGTATTTCTAGAGCCCAACTCCACACAGCTTTCCTGGTGATCTCAGTGTAGCTGTCAAAACCGGGTTACAAATCTTGCAGAGTGTAGTCCTGTCCTTAATTTTAAATCAACTTAAATTAAGACAGTAGATCAATTTTAAATCTGTCTTAAATTTTAAATTGTTTCATTTGCAGCTTGCTAGAGAAGTATTGGATGTTGCTGCCATGATGGTGAAACCAGGAGTAACTACTGAAGAAATTGATCATGCTGTCCATTTAGTAAGATCAGTTTATTATTCTTCTGGTGTTTACAAGTATTTTTTCCTATCTCTTTATTTTTAAATTATTATTGTGTGGTTTTCTTTGTTGCATAAATTCCAGTTCTTTATTTCAAACTGTTTCCCAGTTTGAAGCTGGTGGATAGTGCAGATGGCAGAAATGTGCTACATTGAAATGGTAGGTTCAAAGTGATTTAGGAACTCCTGGGCCTCTCTCTGTATCAGTTACTTCCATATTTCTGGCTTCAGATTTCTTCTAAGTTTCTTCACTTACTTGCTCAGTTAACATTGTGTTTTCTTTCTTCTAAACCCTTTTTGCTCCACAGATACCATTATATAAAGAACAACATATGTAGGCCATGGACTTCTTGTACTCTGTGGTTGGCTATGACATATAGAGGAGAAAGTTAAATTGTTTATGATTGGGAATCAGAACTGAGGTGCCTCAGAGAGAACTGAAACAAATAATAAAATAAAATAAAATAAAAACAAAATAAAGCCATAGTCCAGTGAAGTGTTTAAAAAACATGCTCAAGAATGCTTCCTGCCTTAACTATCCATAGATACTTGAACTGTGTAATTTTTAGCTTTGCTGTCTTAGCTTTATGAATCATGTAATCTGGTACTTGAGGCTACTTCTGTGCATTGTGGGAAAGGAAACAGTTTTGGTATAGTTAAGTTTGTTAAAGAAGTTTCTTTTTATCTGCATCTGCAGCTGTTGAGCCAAGATTGTGTGCTTTCATTAGTCTGGATACTTCTGTTGAACTGCATTAAACAATCCAAAACTCTTAAACATCAAACTGCTATATTAAACATCAAACTCCTTGCTTAGGCATAATGTCTAATATGAACAGCTAGGAGTTAACATGGAGTTACCCCTCCTCAACAGTTTATGGAAACTTTGGCAGGTTGTTGATACTGACTGATATCCTAATTGGTATTTTGCAGTTTTAAAAACAGTATTATTTTTTTAAATTAAAAAAAAGGTAATACAATATTTTTTCCAGTACTTTGCTCAGTATGTCGCAAAGTGTGTGTACGTATGTATGTATGTGTAAGTATATATTAAATGTGTCAGTTTTGCAAAAATACAGAAAGGTTATTACAGTGCAAGGGAAGCAGCTTAAGGTTTTAAAGCTGGGGGAAAACAAGTGCTAAATATTATTTTGTTTAGCTTGTGTGTCTTGCAAAAATCTTGGACTGGATGCTTAAAAGTGGTAATTGAAAATGACATTTTAAAACCAAGTAAATATTGCCATGAATTGTTTCAAACCTGAATATCTCAGTATTCGCAGTCAAGCATGAAGATGAGTAGAAACAAAATTAAAGTAGCTTTAATTTCTTCCTGGTAAGAAATGCAAGGTATGATGAAAACATTGCCAAGAAATGCTTGAAGAATCTTATTTTCTGAAGTCACTGCTTTTCAGCCTATCATTCTTACTGTAAAGCTGTTGCACATATGTTTTTCACAGTGTTTTTCCTTTGTACAAAATTTACTAGTGTAAATTGTATTTTCTCTATTTAGGCTTGTATTGCAAGGAATTGTTATCCTTCCCCTTTGAATTATTATAATTTTCCCAAGTCATGTTGTACGTCAGTGAATGAAGTGATCTGTCATGGAATTCCTGACAGGAGGCCATTGCAGGAGGGAGATATTGTTAATGGTAAGTGCTGTAAAAATTAACCTTCAGCATTTTTACCTTGTGTGCACTTAAATCATGCAGTAAGGTGAGATTTCAGAAGCAGGCAACATCACTGGAATAGCTTCTTAAGAGAGGCTTTTGTTCTCATTTACCAGTTAGGTTGTTCTCATTTACCTCTGCTCTTTACATACTTTAGTAAATGTATTTATTTAATAAAATAATTTCAAAAGTTCAGTCCACTTTAAGAGCTTTATAATTCTTCTACCTGGATCTGTGCATTAGTATAGTGCCTGAGTATTCCACTTGTGGGCTAGATTCCAGTTGTTATAGACTGTATATATTGTGAATAAAATAGGTATTGAATTACTCAACTGGATTAGTTCCATGTGAATTCTTTATTAGATGGCTCTAGATTCCTACAGTTTTGCTATGCTCATGATGATTATGATGACTGTAAAGGGTCCTAAAGTGGAGGCATTGTATATTGTATTAATTGTGCATGTTAATTTTTGTTGAGCATCTCACAGCCTAATGCCAGCTGCTTTTTGTTCTTGGTACTGAAGGTGCTTAGGCCTTCTTGGGTGGTGAGAAATACTTTTATAAATTATTTGTTTAACTTTCATTTGTTTTAACTTTCATTTCTTCTTGGTTTGGCAATAAAAATTAATGACATTTTTTTACAAACATTTTCACCTTTGTTTATTGCATTGGTTTTTTTCTCTCTTACCTGTAAATAAATATGCAGAGTATGCCAAGGTTTGACCTGCCTCTAGAAGTGGGTTGTAATCTTTTTAGATTATCAGATATTTAATACATATTGGCTTGTAATAATAGCTACTAAGTCTACACTTCAGTGCTGTGGGTGCCAGCCTTTTCAGAACAAGTCTCATGGTTGCTGCTCCTGTCTAGGTAAGGTGTGGTCGGTTGAAAGCTCTGAACTTGTAGGGTACATGTAACAATGTATGCCAAAGTTCCTTTATTTTACTTTAATTTCAAAGATGATGCCTTTGCACGGCTCTTTATTATTGCCAGCTATTTTGGCATTGCTGGAGTCCAACCTAAGAAGCCCAGCTCATAGAGTCATGGTTTGGGTTGAAAGGGACCTTAAAGATCATTTGGCTTCAACCCTTGTGCTGTCAGCAGGGACACTTCCAGTATAAAACAGGTTGCTCAAAGCCCCATCCAGCTTGGCCTTGTACATTTCCAGGGACGGGGCATCCACGATTTCTCTGGGCAACCTGTTCCAGTGCCTCACTACTCTCATTGTAAAGAATTTTTGTTTAGTATCTAATCTAAACCTACTTTCTTTCAGTTTGAATCCATTTCTCCTTGCCCTGACCCTACATGCTCTTGTAAAAGTTCCTCTCCATCTTTCTTCTTGGTTTAAGTCACCCCAAAGCATTTTCTTTTCCAGGCTGAACAATCTGAATTCTCTAAACTTTTTCTAATTGAAGAGATACTCCAGCCTTCTAATCAGCATGGCTGGCTTCATCTACACAGTGCTCTCTGCTATTTGCATGCCAGGGCTCTATCTCAGCCCTAGAGAACACCTGTAAGAGGCTTTAGTCACACCTTTGTCCACATTCCTGCACTTGATCAAGCTTGGAGCCTTCTGCTTTCACATGATGAGAAAGAACTGGGCTTCTTTTCTGTAATGTATTGGCAATAACTCTTCTGCTGGGTTTGGTGATCTAGTACCAGCTGACCGACAAAGACTTAGAAACAAAAGTACCTGTTGTGCCATAGCAAGACAACTTGATATGCAAAACAATGATTACATACCTATTAATATTTAATTTCCCCTATAAGTGCTAGAATTAATTCTGAGAAAGTGCTATAACCAGGTAAATCACCATGGAGCAAAGAGCTTCTCTTTCCCATTTTTGTATTTACCTAAAAAAACAATGCTAGCTTGCTGCATCTGTGTTGTGTTGTTGGGGCATTTTTTTTTCCTCCCCCTTCTCCTTTTATTTCATTAAATCAAGCTGTTCACTAGTGCAACACTAACTTATAAATTATTATATAGAATCTACAGGATAAGCATGAAAGAACTGATTCTGCTGGGAGAGTTTTCTTAGGGAATTCTTGTGAAGTCATCACTTCATGGTTGGAATCCCCCGTTTTTACATGTTTGCTCTTTCACCAATGAAGATGCAGGAAGTGAGGAGCAGGGCACTCATTTCCCGTGTCTGCTGTTGTTTGCAGTGGATATCACCGTCTATCGCAATGGCTACCACGGAGATCTGAACGAGACCTTTTATGTCGGAGAGGTGGACGAGGGTGCCAGGAGGCTTGTCCAGACAACCTACGAGTGCCTAATGCAAGCCATCGATGCGGGTAAGGCACGCCTGCAGCACCAAGCCTTTGGTTCTCAAACGTGCTTGCTCCTATTGCCACTGCTCAGAGGGACTGCTGGTGCAGCACACAGGAGCACTGGTGTGTTGTCACCAGCTGATGATGGGTGTTGTGTGATGCAGTGGTGCTTCAAATGGCACAGTTCTGTGAGTGGTGGCTGCAACTTCTTTTTAAATGTGGGCTGATGAGGGAAATGTGTTTGATGCTGAGCTCATCTGCTTATGATACTGACATGGAAACAGCCTTTTTTTGATCGTGGATGAGTGAGACATCCTTGATCTGAGTAACTTAGAGAATGTAACAGGCAAATTATGTTTTGGAAAACCCTACTTTTATAATTTGTATGGTGTTGAACAGTGAACTGGTAAGGTAAAACACTGTGTGAACACCTAAACATATCTCTTTCGCCCTGCCAAACCTGATGGTTATTTCATAAAGCTAGTTATGAGCTCTTGATTTTATGTGGGAGTGTGCCATAGAAGACAGATCCATATCTTCCAGTACTTACAGAACTTTAATTATCTTGCTTGATTAACAGTCAGGGCAGCTGCATCAAGATATACAGTGAGATAGAAAGGTAGCTGCATGTTTAACTTGAGAAAACAAAAGAAGAATTTCTTAAGTCCCTGGAAACACTTGTACCATCTATATCTTTTATACCCTGCAGCTTCTTAATTTATAATTTAATCACTTCTTGTCCTCTAAAGATTGAAGTTTATGGTGCTATATATAGTACCCTAAGGCTTTAAACTTGCATTTCATGAAAAGTAAATGTAAATAAAAGAAATTAAAATGAACACAATTTGGGTTAATAATTTGGAGATAGCTAGTGCAGCTGAAAAGACAAAAATCTATTGGATTGATGTCTTCTGTATCTATTGTGTGATCAAGAAAATACTGCCAGGTTGAGCTGTGAAGAATAGAGATTTCCTGTTTATGTAGGATTACTATTCTGAAATGACCACTTTGTTTTTCAAAGCTAAACCAGGGCAGTGTGTATCTTTGGTCCTGTACTTTTTTATAGCAAGTGTTACATGTGTTGTCTCTTATCCTTTGTATCCTGGCTTTGATGTAGAAACTGTGACAGAAATTTTCCTGTGTTCATTACAATGAGATTAAAATTCTCACTGCAAGTCTTGTTTACAGATTTTTTTTTTTTGCTGTAATGTGTTTTAAAGGGTTTTAGACATTGCATGTGAGTAGGAATTCTGGCAAGCAAGTGTCTCTGCTGTTAAAAGGGGGTCACCTCTCCCCTCTTTAAATCCTCTTAATGCTGTGCTGTTGGACCAGCACAGCTGTAGCTGGGAGAGATGTGTGAGAGAGAAGCAGAGAGCTCCTTGCTCCATTGAAATGAGTTGGACATGCTGTCAGGCCCATACTTCACAGCTATTTAGCACAAACACAACAGATTAATCTCTTACCCACCATGTCCCTTTGTAATTTTTGGAGAAGCATGTATATTCCAGTAATACAAGTTTCTTGTTATTTTTTGTAAATTCAGCTTTGGGGTTTCAGTTGTAGTCACTTATATTAGCAGAGAATTGAACTAAACTTTATGTGAACTCTTCTTAAGATGGCTCTACACAACCATACATCTGGCTCCTGAAGGAACAGCATATATTCAGGGAGTTGGGAATAGTAATGGAAAAGCTTGATATTTTGTTTTAAGGGGCTCAAGGTTGTTTTTGGGATGAAACTTCACTAGCTGAATGATGAAACATGGTTGCTTTTATGGTGTTATTACTCCCTTATCCAAGTGCTCAAAGTGAATTTCTCACACCATTTTCATGTTTTTCAAACTCTCTAACTTGTAAGGCTTCCTAAAGGGATTGTCCAAAAAGTTAAACCTGAATATGAACATTCTTATTTACTGTAGCATTGTCACTGAGAAGCTTGTCTATGAATAGAGAAACACATTTTCCTTGTATTTATTTTTCTAAATATCAGTCCTTTGTGTGCATTTTTCACATAGTAGAGGGATAAGTGTATATTAAAATATAGTTCCTACATTCATTGCAAAAAGCACTGCATCTCAGGGTGTAAGAGCTCACCAAGTACTTTGAAAGTCCTCTATTTTTAATTTCAAACTTTGACATCCTTTTAATGTGAGCAGTTGCATCCATGAAAGGAAGAAAGTAGTATTCTTGTAAAAAAGGCATTTTATTCTGTCTCACGTTTTTTTTATTTTGAGAGAGTTTCTTCCCTCTCTCAAGTTACTGCACTCACATACATACTCAGTGGATTAAGTGACCATAGGAAGTTGCATATTGGAACAGATGGACTCACAAGCCATGAGTGCTGCAGAGATGGTGTTTGATGGTTAGTTGTGTTGAAGGAAAGCTCTCTAAATTCCCTTCTGTATCTCTTTAATTTTGCAGTAAAACCTGGTGTTCGGTACAGAGAACTGGGGAACATAATTCAGAAACACGCTCAAGCAAATGGATTTTCAGTGGTTCGGAGCTACTGTGGGCATGGAATCCATAAACTTTTCCATACAGCTCCTAACGTGCCCCATTATGCCAGTGAGTATTTGTTCCTTTGTGATATCCTGTAGACAAGTGATTTGCAGTGAATGCACCCAATTTACTTGAGCCATCAAGTTGGCATTTGAGAAACAATTTTTGTTTTCTAACTCTGAACCGTAGCATATTTTATGAACCCGTGCTTGCATTATCTGCCCGCACTAATGGTTAGTCTTAGGTCTCATCAGTATTGCCTTAGTGCTCAAAGTTTTTGCCTGAATTCCCTTAGACATTCTTGTCTGACATGAACTGCCAAGTGTTTCTCTCCTTGGAAGTTCTACACCAAACCTTACTGCCATTAAAGATGCAAATAAAAAGCTCTTTGAATAGTATATATAGGTGTTGTGCCTGAATATGGATCCTTTTTCTTTCACTTTCCTTCGAGTGTTGTGATTTGCTACTTCTGGAAACTTCATCCTAGTGTGTGACAGAGAAGGAATGAACATTGCCCCAATAGTGGTAATTTTTAGAAATGTCCATGGCGCCGTAACAATTTTCCCAGCAAGACTAAGAAACAACATCCACAGAGGCAAAGGATGGAAGATGAAGTGCCAGTGGATAACTAAGGGCAGAGTAAACCTCATGAAGCAGTGATCAGCAGTTCACACTCACATTAGCTGTAAAGCTGCCCTGATAGTAGGACACTTATTTCCTCAGATCTGACAGGTGCTTCCATCTTCCCGTCTCCTAATGAGCTTTAACACATGTTATGGTTATAGAATATAGTCTAGCAATTCCTGACTTTCCATGTCATCATTTCCCCAAGTTATTTTTTCTGACAGCAGAGAAAATCTGTTAATTGCAGGGTAAAAGGGTATGAATTCCTGGTATGTACTTTTTGTCATGTAAAATGAAGAAAATATGGATTCTTTGGAGGTAGAGAGCTTTTTATACCAATTAAAATCCAGTTCAAGACAAAGGAAATTTCTGTCTTTCTGGGTATTTGGAACTTTGAACTTTTTTTTTTTTTTTTTTCCTTCATTGGGCAAATATGTCTGTTCCCAGAAAGAAAGATGCTGGGGATTTTTTCTGGTATTTTTAAATACAGAGTCACAGCAAAAGCAAAGTGGAAAAATCTGAGGGATTTAAAGCCTCTTGGAGAAAAACGAATGCTGCTGCTTATTTCTAGCCTACTATGAAAGGAGTTTGAAGAGCAAGAAGATAATTTTCTAAGAAAAATGTTCTGTTGCTGTTGCGGCAGCTTGATGTCTGAGATTTTTAAAGCCTCTAGGTGATTTAGACAGTGTAATACATTTATACAATTAAGGTTAGATGGGGGGATGTAAAATGAATGCAAAATGTCTACAGCAGCAAAGTGGCTTGGAGCTAATGGTTCCTGTGCAGTTCTGGAGTTTGTTCCAGCTCTCAGGCTCACTTACATCTGAGCTGCACTGTCTTTCCAGGTGAAACAGGACAGAGGAAATGGGCTGAAGCCTTTCTCCAGTCAAACTGCACTTCTGGAGTTATGCTGTCCATCAGTTCATGTGCCTCCAGATGAGCATTTTTGGTGCATTTAACAACAAAAAGTTCCTGTGTTAATGTCCTGGATGCCTCAAAATGCTCTGCTATTTTATGTTAGCTAATGAACACAGCATTATCACTGACACTGCTATGACCCCATTATCCAGGGTAATGAGGGGGCAGTGTGTCTTTCTTAAATGGAATCATGGGATTATTTAATCACTGTCACATTTTGACAATTTATTGGAGCTAATGGCTCAGTGCAAACAAGTAAGGAGATTCCAAGTCTTCTCTGAATATCTTAAGTGCTTCTTACTTCTGTTGTTTTTTAATTATGGTTTTCCATTATAGAAGTGTGCAGAAATTCCTGTATTATATTTTTTCAGTGTTTTTATAGAACTAGAGTTGAAATTGCAATTGTTGGAGAGAAAGACAGTGATTTATTTTAAGCTGTTTAAGTATTACAGTGTTGGTGAATGGGGAGAAGGAAAGAGCTAAGGGAAATCTTTATGTATACATAAAAATGGAGAAGTGAACGGATCATCTCAGATGGGACTTTTCTGACTTTACTGTGTTTCTGTTGTATTCTGTTAAGACAAGAATTCGTTCATTTACTAAGATGGTATTCTTTTTTCTAATTTGAGTGTTTATTTTATTGCAGAAAACAAGGCCGTTGGAGTCATGAAGCCAGGTCATGTATTTACAATTGAACCAATGATCTGTGAAGGTGAGCAGTTTAGCAGGAGAGTAAAATGATTACGCTCCTTTGCTCCTAAGTAGTGATGGAACAGGATGCTGGTTCTATCCTGTAGAGCTGATGGAGTTTTCATTTCTCTTTGGGGGACTGATACCTGTTATTTAAAAACTGGCAAGAAGTGGTGCTTTCTGCTTTCAGGTGGCTGGCAGGATGAGACCTGGCCCGACGGCTGGACTGCGGTGACAAGGGACGGGAAGCGCTCGGCACAGTTTGAACACACACTGCTGGTCACAGACACGGGCTGCGAGATCCTGACCCGGCGCCTGGACAGCATTCGCCCCCACTTCATGACCCAGTGATAGTCCACACTGAGCAGGTGCATCAGAACGAGAAATATATATATTTTTTGCCCCTGTACTATGCATTTTTTTAAGAGTACAGAATAGAAAGATTTCACCATTTACTTTGTTCTCAGTGATTGTAGATACGAGGAATATCTTGAAGAACCTGACCCAATGTCTGCAAAAGCAGAGAAGAATTTAAAGGATTTCCTACCTTCCTCCTACCTACAACACTCACGCTGTACTTTCCTTTTTTTCTTCAATTATCTCTTTAGCACCTTTCTTCCAATTAGACCCACAATTGCTTCTGTTGCTGCCATGGTATTAGCTAGAAAAGCGTGGGTAAGCTTGCCCACTGGGACTTGATATTTTGGGATCCAGGTTTTTTTCATCATTTCAGCGTGCCCTGTCACTCTTGGTTTGTGAGTGGCACCTGAGATTTTAAGCATTTCTTATTCCAAAGACTTGCTCTTATTTCTGCAGATACTATTTTGGGCCTTGTTTGTTTATCAGTTGAGAAGGGGGCAGAAGGGAGAAAGACATGCACGTACAAGAACGGGCTACCTTTAATTCTGCCCCCGTCTCTCTGCTAGTGGTGATTGCCACTGTGGGTGGCACACTGTGTTAATGGCAGGACTTGTTTCTCTTGCTGGAGATATGATAGGATGGGAAGTTAATGAGGTCTATCTTATATACAGCTCTCTGGAATAAGCTGCTTTTTGGCAAAGCAGTACTTGTAGGCAGCCTCCTGCACCAAAAGCCTGGTGAAGCTGATGTATCAGACTTGCCTAGGTAAAGGAATGATACAAGAACCAAAAAGATCCCATGATTCATGGGATCCCTATGTCTGTTAACTGTGGGGCATTTCTAAAAAGTACATCCACAGTAGCTGTGGGGGATTGGATTTGCAAGACTTACAGTGAAGTATCTCAAAACAAGTCTGAGTGTGTGAAAATGAAACATGTTCAACACTGTATTCATTTTCTTTTGGTAATTTTTAAATGGGTCGTTTTCTTCCCCCTTGGTTGAATGAGTTTCAGGTTTTGGAAAGTCTTAGGGGGGCAGCTATGAAAAACTTTTCTTCCTCAGACAGGTTATAGAGTGAGCAATGTTGGTATATATACCCCTTTATAGTTTGTTAATGGGCCATGGTGAGCTGGAAACAGTTATGTTAAAGAGTGTGGATCTTTTCTCTACCCTTTCTTTTTCCATGCCCATTTCCCTTCCATCATCTTTGATGTCTCTGCTGAGGGAATTTATTTTTTCTCCTTAATTGTAATGAAAAAATTTTCAGACCCCATTGTAGACTTCACATTACACCACTGTAACACAAGAGATACTTAATCCAACACAGACATTAAATCATACAATCATGGGCATAAAATACACCTCTTATAAAATGTCTGGTGAATTTGTTGCCACAGATCCAAGAACATGAAGTGCCGCATACCCTTGGCTCCCCTTGGCACTGCAGAATTTAGGTGGGGGAAAGGGGTTAGCGCTTCACAGAACTGGACTCGTCTACTTCCAAATTTGCCAGAAAACATCTTCTCTGCCCTGAGTGCCTCAGACCTCTGTTGCTGTATCACTGCAATGTTTTCATTACTTTATTCATGTTTTAATTATGCAGTAAAGTGACCTGAAACGATGCACAGAGAGCGCGTGTGTGTGTGCGTGTGTGTGTGTAGAGATTTTTAACAAAACAGACTAGTACTTGAGTGGGATTACCTGTGCTGAATGAGCTGTGTTGAGGAGATGCCTGTCCTGGAGGTTTGCCCACCATATCCTTCACTTGAATGGTTACAATGGTCTTGACTTTTCTATGTGTGTGTGTATGATGCGGGGGGTGGGGGGCTTCATTTTTGATCTATGAAATAAAAATTGCAGCTGCTTTTAACAGAAATAACTTTTTGTCTTGTAATCCAAACCCAGACATAGAATTTTCAATTACATCCAGATTTGCTTGCAGTAGTGCAAGCCCCACTGGTAGATGCATGCAGCCAGTTAGATCTCACACTTAAACCCACACACATGCCACCTGGATACCTCTTTGTTGTTGCACTGATACAACCAAATTTTGCACATTTTTAATGCAGGTAATCTATGATGCTATGCATTTCTGTCTATAAACTGAAATCACAGCATGGTAACTGCTTATAGTGAGTTCATACTACTGCAGTATTTTTAAATCAGTGGAAAGCTTAGTTAGCATCTACACCAGATCTTTCGACATAAGAGGGCACATCAGCCTGGAGAACAAAATGTATTAAATAAAAATATTGAGAAAAGCTATTTTTTCACCTATGAAGCTGTGTCTTTACTTGAACATGACATACTAGACTTGTGCTAACTGGATTGTGGAAATTAACTGTTTTTGGTCCTTACATAAGTTGCTATCCACTTTATATAAAAGATCCCAACTTAAATCTCCTTTTACTGACATTTTTAGCAATTGTATACACTTTTACCAAAACCACTAAGCAATTAGTTCTGAATCAATCTCTCAATATATTTTCCCTTTACTGTTGTAAAGGGAAAACACATTAAAATTACTTACTTTACTGTAAGTCAGTTTGGAAATTCTTCATGCTGTTTCTGCAACTTTACTTGAGTATTTAAGGAGAGAAGGTTTGGTAGATGGTGTTGAGTAAGAGTAAGAGGAGGAGGAGAGTGGCCAGCCTACACATTTTACATGACAGCCAGCAGAGTCTGTGCACATTGTATTCACAGTGGATGGTGCAGTTCAATACAGTACTGTGATCACCAAAAATGGGGTAGAAACTCTTGGTTTTGAGTTATTTTGTTTGCCAAACAACTTTAAAAAACCCTATTTCAAACATGCTCCATTCAATCAAAAGCTCTGCAGGACGAAGTAGTGGCAGGGACTTCTTCAGGCTGGGAAGAAGCTGCAAGTCTTTGACCCAAGTGCTCTGGTATCACTACATTTCTTTGTTGTTGGTATTACAGCCTGGCTTCTCACAAGCACTCCAAGATGCAGATTCTCTGAAGTAATGTAATGCAGACAAGATTGTGTGGTCTTGATCTAGTCTGTGCAGCATAGAGAAGCAGCTGTTCCAGTTAAGTATGTTAACTCTGTTAGATCTAGCTAGTATTGTGTTGATACTATCTTCAAATTATGACGTACTCTTACTGGAACAGCTTAACAGCAAGCTTTCTACTGGATTTTCTGATGTTCAGCCAGCCTTCCTGGAGCTACAAGGTACTGAGATTCACCTCTTTGCTGGGCTAAAGGGCTCAGTTTCTTGTTATCAATTCAGTTTTTATTTCCTTCTGATGCTCAAAATTGAATTTTTATGACATTCATATTTGCTCTTCACTGTCTGAAATGAAGTCGAAATGCAGTATCTCAACTATTTTCAGAATGCTGTAGGGGATATTAATGAGAGATGGAAAAGATGTAATTGTCCCAGTTGTATAGCAATGACTTGGAGTAATTGTGGTGGCGAGAGGGAGTTTCTTCTAGTAAGATTGCTGTCTGCGTTCTGTGTTCTCTGCTAGAAGTTGTTTTGACCAGGGTTCTTTAAAATACGAAACTTCTCACCTAATCAGTGTCCTTGGTTCACTGAAAAACACTGAGTTTCTATGTATCTTTTTTTTTTTTTTTAACTGTCTGGGCTTTCTGCCTCTGCTTTGCAGTCTGTTTTCTGCTATTTCTCTCTTTTTCTGGATGTGAGGAACTGATTCCAGGTTTCAATACAAAAATCACCTTATCCAGTCAGCTCACTTCACCTACAGTTAAGAAAACCTGCAACTCCAAAACTGAGACTTAAGCCCTCCTCCTCCAACAAAAAACTCCCAGAAAATCCTGAAGGCATCATCATGCAATGCTCTTTCCTGTTCTCCTGCAGCCCTCAAGAGCAGACTTGCTCTAATAGTAGTATTTCCTGCTTCAATGGCAGGATCAGGTTTCTGACTAGAGGTAATAATCCCACCCTGTTTGTTTTTGCAGTGTTGGCTGCAAAGTTTGCTTCATTTGCCAGAAAGTTAAGCAAATGGGACAGCTGTCCTACTGCAGCCTTGGAGGACACTACTAGAGCAAGTGACCAGAGGAGTTTGTGCCATGATCTTTACAACAGGCCTGCCAAAGAGACCAATGAGAAGTAAGGCAGAACATGGACCAGCCCAGTGGACATGGGTATGCCATGACACCAAAGTCTGTGCTCTATATTTGGCTTCAGGGTTGAGCTGGATGCTGCAATCCACTATAGCCCTAGAATAGCCTCAGGAACTTGACAAGTTCTGGCCCCTCTCTCAGTGCAGTTTCAGCAAATGCATGCTGCTTCTCACCCCTGTGCTTAGCTGTGCCTTGTGCAGTGAATCTCACATCATTTGCTGTAGACTCTGCAGAACACTCCCTCTGTCACATACACACAGTGGAATCACTAGAGGAAAACAAGTAACAGACAGCAATCACAGTCACTCTTACTGCTAAATAATTCCAACACTGGGTTTAGAAATAAGCTTTTATTAAGTAGATTAAGTTAGCTACTATTGAATTTGAGGAATGAGTATAGAAAGTTCCATAAGCAGGACTAATTCCATAATGTTATTCAGTAGTTAACATTTTTTTATTATTTAGTACCCAGAATGCTCACCCTAAAATACATGGTGTCTTCTAGTCCCAGTGAGTTTTCAGTTGCTTGATTCTATCTTCTATCAAAAATTTCATTATAAAAAGGCAGTTAGCATAGTGCTGGCCAATTAGAAGGTCCTCATTTGGCTTTAAAATTTTAGGACAGTTCGAATGCTTAAAATAAAAAAGAAAAAAAAAAACTTACCAAGAAGTCAATTTTCTCCCCATCTCTCCCTTTCATTGCTGAGACATATTTTAACTTCCGTCTTTTATAACAAATGAAGTCATGCTTATGCCTATAATATTTATTAAAAATCTAGGATAATGCTTGTTCTCTTCAGGTGTTTTGTCTCTCCTCCAGTAAAATAAATTCCAAATGAACTATTTTTCAAACTAGGTGTCAGCTTTCAGTAGCTAGCCAAGATTGATCAGGAGCAGTAATATTTACAGGCATTCTCCCTTTTTTCTGTTGGGAAAATGCTAGGTAGCTTTCATTATTAGTTTCCTAGGACATGCTCATGTATGAATAAAGCACTGAAATGATACTGAAGTTTATAACTGGGATAGGGATCAACTGCTGGATGCAATTTGCATAAATGCAGTGTTTCCAATTGTAACAAATACAGTAAACTGATTTATCCAAAATAGAATCCATATGAGCTAAAGCAGATAGAGCTCTTTAAAGCTCTAGATACTTTCTCCAAAGTTATATACAATAGATAGATATAGTTTGAGATCAAATAAAAAGACTATGCCGGTTTCTGGAGATAATGGTCATAACTATTTGTCTATCTGCAGAGGAACCTAAATATTACTGAATATGTAATCTTCAGTCTCTTTACATTCCTTATTATAAGAGAGAACGTTTTAACAATGGTGAAATCCTGAGATTGACCTATCCCCTCTATTTTTATCTCTATTTCTCTTTTACACTGTTGCTTGCTTTTTACTGTGTGCCTATGTTTTGGCACATGCCTGGCAGGTCAGAGAAGCATGTTTGTATCAGAATCAATGCATGTGGTGGTATATATGTCACCCTTTAGCTTCCCTGTTTAAAACATGCCAATGGGCAAGGAACCTGTACTTTGAGTGTCTGATCAAGAAGTGTCTTGTATACCTTTCAATATTGTGAACATTACCTTTTTCCTGAATGCATCAGCTCAAAAGCCTCATTAATTTTGTCAAAAGGCAGCGTGTGAGTCACAAATTCATCAACCTTGATCTTTTTGGACATGTATTCAGTCACCAGTTTCGGTACATTGTCTACACTCTTCCAGCCTGAAAGAAGGAAAACATGCCTTGTCTCCCTTTTCCACCCATCTCAGAAAATTAAAAATGCAGCCCTAACACGAAACTTGTATGATCAATAGGAAAAGGAACAGAGATGAGTGACATGTTTGTCTCTCCTATGGAGGTCTGGCAAAAGCACACATTATCCAAACACACACAAATGTTGATGAAAAATCTTTCACTAGCTGTTCCAGCATTCAACATTAACAGCAGCCCTCACCTAGGAAACTATACACAAGGCATCTCTATCAGTCCCCCTGCATATCTTGATAACCCAACCCAGTAAGTTTTGTATTGCTTGGACAAAGAGCAGTGTAATAATTCGAAGTCTGAAATTGAACTTCGATCAACTTCAGCAATTACTGAATCCCCAAAAAAAAGAACTCAATGTGCTTTTGAGTTGGCAGCAGAAAATGTGTATCAAACATTTGTTCCCTTGTTTTTTTAAAGGTATTTAGAGCACATTGTCACGTTGGCCCCACAATTTACTTAGTGGTTAAGCAACACAAACATACTGATGTGAGTTCCCATCTCCCCAAAGACTAGTTCCTTTCACTGGACCAAACTGAACCAAACCTTCACTTGGTGGTAATGCAGTTTCCCTATCCCACTCCTTTAGTACTGAGTAGGATATAGATATTTTCTCTCTTCAAAATATGTTAGATATTCTGCCAATGTGTTAAACTGTACCCTGTCTGTAGGAATAACAGATTTTTAAGAGTCTTTATCTTAAAAGCCAACGTAGGATTTATGAATAGCCTGTCAATAGTACATTTTTTGCACGAGCAAAGCCAAGGGGGTGTGTTCTTCCAAATTATTTTTATCCCCACAGCAAGAGAGAGTTACCTCCAAATGCGGTCCCTTTCCATGTCCGCCCAGTTACTAGCTGGAATGGCCGTGTGGAGATCTCCTGGCCAGCAGCAGCCACTCCGACTATCACACTGACTCCCCAGCCTTTGTGGCAGGCTTCCAGGGCAGCCCTCTTCATGGACAGACAGGACAAAGCAGAGTGTTTATTA